GCACAGAGCAGCCCACTTCTTTGGTCTTTTTCTCGTTTCTGGTAGAGTTTCATCGAGATAGAGGTATTGAATGAAGAGGAATACTCTATTCTACGCATCTTGTATTGCTACAGCCTCCAACAACATATCTTCCTTGCGTTCTGCAACGATTTTGACACACACTATCGCATGTTCGCATACATTCTTCTCAGAAACAAAATATTGTTACTCCCGAAGTGACGTCAAAAGCCAACTCGTCCCATTCTCCGCTATTCCTCGGTCGTGAACATGGAAAAGGGCAAATTTACAAACTTAAAAAAAAATCATAGAAAATTAACGAAAATAGCTACAAGGATAATTTTTTCGCAGTGGCGATCAGGAGAAAAAGGAAATTTATTTTAGCGAAAGAAATTTTTGGGGTTAGTGGCACTTTAACTTTTTTAAAATATTAACTGGACCCTCGACAAAAACCTGTACTCCCTCAATTTAAACACATGCTGCTTAATCAGCCAAACAAATAAGAAAAAATAGGTTTCATTTAAAAAAATATGAGACAATAGGAATCTGCTCAAAAAATAGGAAAAAAGTAGGAAAAAACAGGAACTGGAAACCCTGTTATGTTCTTTTAGTATGTCCTCATATTGTGTCCAGCTGACGAAAATATTTCCATCTGAAGGCCACGTTTTCGATTAGGAACTAGCATTTCGCTTACTTGAAGTTCCTTTCCCAATATAATGGGGAGTTTTAGCAATGACGAAGGCGCCGGCGGAGACTACGCCTTGTAAAAACACGAATTTATAGTTTACCTTCGAATGTCGCAATTGTGTCGATCTGTTCAGTACGCCTATCGGTCTAAAATCTTGCTCAGGCTAAACACGCACCGACAGCGTTCACTTTCAAAAGAAGATACGAAAAATTAGTCATTGTGGTTCGCGTTCTTCAAACTACGTAGAATTTAGTCATTTCACGTTGTTTTTTTTTGCAGACGGCGAAGAAATGTACAACGATTCAAAACTCACGTGCACAGCTATTGTTCTGCTCATAAAACCTTTTGTTTCATGACACTCTCGTCGCCGTCGCCGTCGTGGTTTGCCAAAACTCCCTAATAACCGTAACAGTCCTCTGTACTACGGACTTCGCGCTAAAAACCGCAAAATTCTGATACTTGTTCCCGGTTACAAACCAACATACCAAAATTACGTGGAGGCATGTGTTGCAAAAGAATTGATCAATCCCTAAGATGCAAAAGCTCACCTCATTCCCAGGGTCTTACTTCTTCCGAGGATAAGGTTGATAAATGCTTCAGAGTAATTCTAAATTTACACATGGGGTTAAATGCAATTGATAACTTAAGGACGGTGCCTACTAAATACGAAGATTTTTGCGCCAGGTTAGGACCACGCTAAAAAAGTAGATTTTTGCAAGGGCTATTGGAGTCCACAGAGAGATGATTAGCCTTGAATCTCGACAAAAATGTTGACATCAGCATTTTTCTGTAAAAAGAAGGAATGGATATTTCTTCACATATTTCCTTAGAATTCGCCTTTACATACAGAAAAGCAAACACATTTAAAAAGATCTTTTAACTACATGGCAAATCACATAAAAACCATTTTTGGTATGTTTTTAATAACAAAATCGTTGTAGCAGCGTTTTTAGCGTCTCTGACAGCCTTCTCTGTTTAAGCTAAATTACAGTGTAAATATCTTTTAACTCAATATCAAGGCAAATCCGCTATGTTTTCAATGTGCGCGCGTTAATGACGCCATAAATTATGCGCAGTAAGGATGCGCAATGCAAATGTGAGGAATCACCTGAAGTGTCAAATGTATTTAGCACTGTTGTGCTAATTGAGGACACTGTAAATAAACAAACAAATATTGCAAATAGAACACAAAATAAATTAATTATATTAACTGAAATCCTCAGCAAAATGCCCCGCACATTTAAACCGTAACTGGCATATACATTGACCTTGATCGCATAACTGCAGAGCAAGGGAAAAAAGAAATCTACGCATTGCAGCTACAATAAGGTAACCAATCAATGCCTAACCATGTCGTTAGAGTGTGCGAGCTCGAGGTTCATTTCCAGCCTTTGTTATGTTATTATTCACAATTGCAATACCACGTGGAACACCAAACTGTTTTCTCGCATTATGGACTGAAAGGAAAAAATTCAATTACAACTTGCAAATCAGTAGAGTTAACTCTCAGTATTGAACAGATCCGAGCATAAAATCCACTATAGTACATGTGAAATTTTCTACCAGTATCAAAGGGTAATTAAGGCAGTCTGAATCTGGCGTCGGTTGCGGTATTGGTTTCCTAAAAACGCTGAAAACCCTGAACAGTAATAGCAATTAAGCAATTAATTTAACCCTAAGTTTTACTTTCTAGGTATTGCTCATGTTATAGCAAAATAAATGGTTTCTATAAATTTTTTTACAACAAGCATTTAATCCTATTGGATTCTATTTTTTATGCATGCTACATTTCTTGTTCTTCTTCTGCTTCTTCTAACCGAATTTTAGAACGGCTTGCACTCATTTCAACCGACTGCTTTCACTCGTATCCGGTTTGCGTTCATGTTCTTCGATGTCTTGTAGCCATTCGTCTTGGTTGTCGCCTTTGTCGCTCGAAGCGATGTCTGCTGCCGATTCCGATTCACAGCTAAATGCTTTCTTCCCTTTCTTTGGTCTTGGTTTTGACAAAGAAAAGGGACACGATCTTTTTTTTTTTCGAAGAATTCATAGATTTCACAAGACGACAACTTTGAGAGCTTCCAAGATGGCGAATCGCGTGTGTTTTGTGAAACACAAACACACATGTACTTAGCTGTCACGTAACCTCTCCTTATTTGACAACGCGATGACAAGAGTTGTCAGCGGCTAATTAGAATAATTAAGATGGCAAAATTGTCTTCGCTTAATAACTTCCCGTACGAATAACATTTTTTGGTGGATTTTTTTTTAAACGAAAGCTATTCCTAACATTTATCGAATCATATAAAAATCCAAAATTATGCAAAACGGTCAATTTTGGGTTGGCTAATACCTTAATGAAGGACGTTCGCGCTAATTGTTTCTGCGCATCTTTACTGCGCACGCAAATTCACACGCCACGTCTTGCATGAGAGCGCGCGCCAAGTAACAAAATGAACAATGAGAGGGCAGATGGCCATTGCTATAGCTTTGCCTGGATTTAACGATCTTGGACGTTCGGTGACCCTTACTTTTCTTTCCAGAAGCAGATTTTATTTACAGTTATCTCCACATTGTCCAAAAATGACCAAAAACTCAATGTGGGAAGTTAAAAAAAATTCAAGATTTCTGTCCAAGGGACTTCGAATCCTTCCATCTTGCAGCTGCAAGGCGCGTGAAACTATGGTCGCTAAATGCAAACTTGTTCTTTAAGGAACCTCACCTGTTGACTAAACTCACTTAGGTCCACTTAAACAATATTTGGCAGAGAACATTTCCCTTTAAATATCTAATTGCAATATCTTTGGGCTTACAGACACTGTGGCCTTATTCGCTACTGAAGCCCGATTTTGTCAGATTTAGGGTGTTCTTCAGGGCGAAGTCGGTGACCCCCCATTTTTTTTACAATTTTGACACAACTAACTCATCATCTTACAGTGGTAAAAGTCTCAGAAAAAAATCAACGTTGGAAAATTTTTGCGCGAACCTCCTTAATAGAGGCTTGACTGTACGTTACGAATAAAATTACATCTTGTGATCACGTGACTAACAATCAATATGTCAATGTCAACTAAGGGTGGGGGGTCCCCTAAACTCCGTGCACTATATATCCAGAAATCATTTGCAGAAGCACATTATTTCAAGTAGTTTTAATCACACGGAGTTGGAAAATTATCTATTATTATTATTGTGTAAAGGATATGGGATGAAGTATGCTGCCTGAAAATTATCAATATTTTATCACAGCACGTATTACCGACAACTTACTGACACCCTACCGGTCGGACATCTCGCCGACACATCACCGACTGTCGGCCGACTGTTGATCTGTGCTTGGACCAAAAACTAGCCACCTGTCCTCCATTTGAGGAGGTTAGGCTAGGTACGTCTTCTAGGTACGATCAGGTCATCTTGGCTTAAGTGTTACATTTTTTTTTTAAAAAAATCTTTACTCAAATGGAAATGGCTCCACCAGTCAGAGTCAAATGGGCTCTTGTGATTGGGGTCATTTTGTGTAGTAACAAAATGACTCTGTTCTTCGATATTAAAACGGCACCATTGATAGGAGCTGGGACGGCCCTAAGTTTTAGCCAACTAGACTTAAACGAAAATGGCTCTAGTGATAGGGGCTGATACGCACCAAGGGGCTGATTTATTGTCCTCTGTGGGCCAAATCGGTTTTTAATGGGGCTGAAACAATTTTTATTGGGGTCGATTAAGACCAAATTGACAAAATGGCCCCACAAGGAGTCAAATCAGCTTCATAGGCCATAGAGCTGAATTAGCACTTTGGGGCTGAAACAGATCTTTTGAATTCCCAGCGTGGTCAGGATGTGAGGAATTCTTCAACAGAAGGTTCCGTTTTAACAACAGCAGCGGCTCCAACAACAGCAGTGGCTCCAACAACAGCAGTGGCTCCAACAACAACAGTCGCTCCAACAACAGCAGTGGCTCCAACGACAGGTCCCGTTCAAACAACAGCACAGCTCCAACAAGAGGTTCCGCTCTAACAACAGCATGGCTCGATCAACATTGCTCCAACAACAGCATGGTTCCAACACCAGGTTCTGTTCTAACAACAGCAGGGCTCGAACAAGATCATGGCTCCAATTATAGCATGGCTAGAACAACAGATTCTATTCTAACAACACCATGGCTCCAACAACATCATGACTCCGGCAACAGCACGGCTCAAATAACAGATTGTTATCTAACAACAGCAGTGGATCCAACAACAGCAGTCGCTCCAACAATAGCAGTGGCTCCAACATCAAGTACCGTTCCAACAACAGCATGGCTCGATCAACTGGTCCTGCTGAGTATCCCTTTATTTATTCTTTTATTATTTTATTATTGGGCTCGACGTTAGGAGTTTGCAACATAAACTCAACGCACTAGAGGACTGAGCCCTAGCGCTTAGCAGAAAAAATCTCGATTTTTGAGTTATGTTTTGGTAAAAAAAAATACCTGAGGCATCTTATAAAATTTATATTTTCTTTCAAAGGTCTAGTTGTTTCACCTTCAAAAGTGTCTTCTCGGTTAGATGCCTTTTAAAAGCGATATTAATTTGAAATGGTTTCCCGGAGAAATTGTATCTGATCAATGCTGGCAACAGAATAAGACCATGCTTTAGCATTTTATTACTTCTTGTTATAGAATGGGTCCATAAAAAATTACCCACCAATCTGATTCTACCGTTAGCTACTATTTTAGACTGCATGACGTTTAGTTGTCTTGCTGGGAACAGCTCCATTGAAGTTCTTATAAATAAAGCGCTGATCGAATTGTTAGAATCAAACCTTGATAAAACTAGGCTGATATTACACTTCTTAAGGTGAA